TTCCACAATCAGCTCCTGGCCTAGTTTTCACAGCTGATATTGAGCTTCTCCAGCGTTTATTTTTACCCCACAGATTTAATCGATCTGATTCCTATGCATACCATCAGGTGAAATCCATGTGTATAATCTACGTTTATGTCTCTTAAAAAGAGAAAGGTAGAGAATCAATTAAAGAAAGACCCTCAATAAGATGTATTGACATAGTGACTGTAGCAATGGGTTCATGTGTGTTAGAGATGATGAAGATGGCAAAGGATAGGACACAGTTAACATTTGTTCAAAGTGTTGCTACAAATTGTACTTGATTTGACAGCACCTAACTGCAACTGACTCATAATGAGCTCTGGTGGCTTAATGGTAGGGAGTTGGTCCGCCAATGCAAAGGTATGTGGTTCAAATTCAGCTGCTTTGTGGGAGAAAGATGGGCAAACTCCTTATTTTCTGCCTCTGAAAACCCACTGTAGAGTCAGCCATGGGTAAATCCTGACTCACGGTATACAATAAGATTTGTAAGGTTCTGAAACATGGATAGTGTTATTTTTGTGCAAATTGCGCAGTCATACAGGGGCAGAAGCCATGAAGTTAGTTAGATGTTCTATTATCACTGTCTTGAATTTTTAAAAGGAATCTTACCCTTAAACTTGTGTTCTGCAAATGAAGTTCAATGGGATAATAGACTTTCTATGGAAGCTGAGGAGGGTGGTGTGATATGGATGTCCATGTTGGTTCTTCGCCATCTCGTTGCATTTATGATGTCCTGTCTTAAAAGAAGTATGGCCAGAATTTCTTAGAAATGATGGTGATACTTTGTCTCACTCTGTTTTGTGGATGTTAGTAGAAGAGTTTAGTTGTTGAAGACAGATATCATACATTGGAAGGTCAGTGAAAAATGATGACCTTCAATATGATGGATTGGCACAGTGCTGCAACAAGGGGTCTCCAACAGCTGGAGTGAACTCCACAGCACCTAACAACATGAGCACAGAGGAGTCCTGCTGGTGCTGCATTTAAAGCAACTGTCCACCAAAAGGTTGGATGCTTGAACCCATCAACTATTGAGTAGAAAAAAGATATGTCAGCCTGCTTCTGTAAAAACTTACAGCCATGAAACTCTATGGGGGCAGTTTTCCATCCTACAGTGTCTGATAGGAGTTGGAGCCACAGAGGCATGATTTGTGGAAGTTCAGTTAACCTCAGAGTTAGAGATGTCCATAAAGTGTTAAGACATGCACATATCAAAAAGTCAAATAACAGCTGAGTTAGTTTTACACAGTGCTGCTCTTATACAATGTATTTCTTACTGGAATGAAATACATGCTTGTTTGACATAAGAGTTTTGTGAACTTTTAGTGATTCTGCATGAGTTAAATGTATTTACACTTGTATATAAACCTGCCATGACAGAATATGAAAATGAGTAAAATTTAAGAAAAAGTTTTCCTTTTCTTTACTTAGAATGACATTAAACAAAATATAAAAAGAACCAAAAATGGAGAGCTCACAGAAGAAATTCTTTTCCTCTGCGCTTTGAACAAGTGGCCCTGCATTTTCATTTTACACTAAGCTCAACAAATTATGCAGCCAGATATGCAGCTGAATGCTGAATGTGGCAGTAAGGACATGCTGCACCGGGGGTTCGGAGGTAGTTCATAGATCATGGGAGCACAGGACAAGGCTGGGTTTAGATCCGTTGTTCACAAGGTAAGTCACTTTCGACTGCAAGGCACATAACAACACACCAATCAGAGAGCAGGCTGCCTACAGGATTGGCCTTTTCGATCGCTGGAGGTGGTCAATGGTTTGGAGTCAAGTTGGGTAAAGAGACCCAATTTCTCTTGAAGTTCTTTCTAATCCCGAGAAAACACTAAAGACTTGACAATTTCACTGATACAAGAAGTCAGAAAGTGAAACTCCATTTGCTGCAAGAGGACAGAAAGCGGAAAAGTTAAAACTGGCTCATTCTTTTCAAAGTACTTTGGGGCGGGGGAAGAGAATTTATACTAATTTCGTTTAAATGTTTATCTTAAACACCTAACAAGAGGTCAGGAAATCTGTTTTATCGTTTTAGAGAGGGGAGGAGGAGGAACTTAGAGGAAAAAAAAAAGTCTTCGGTATCTCGTGATACGTTAACCATATAGCCTAGACGGCCTACCTTTTTAGTTAATGAAAACTCAAAACCAAACCTCTCACAGCTGACCCCCAGTGGGGTTTCAGAGGCTGTAAGGGCAGGGAGGAGCTTGCCCATCTTTCTCCTGCAAAGGTGGCCAGTGGATTCCAACTACCAGCCTTTGTGTTGACAGCGCAACTCCTCACCGACTCCATAGATGCCAAGAGCTTCCCATTTCAGGGTGAAAAGCGAGCCTCAATAACAAGTCCGAAGTTGCTTGGAGGGGAACTGGGTGTGCTGTGAGCTAAAGACTGGGTCAAGTACACAGACCCTGGTCAAGACATGATCTTAGACTCAATATTTGAACAAAGAACAGGTATTTGCAGGAAGCGGGGGGGAGGAGTAAAAACTTCCCAAACTGGATCTTCACGTTTCTTGTGCACAAACAGAAACTCATTTGTCAACCTAGAATCCATGGTCTAGCCTCTAGGAAGGAAACACATCTTCCAGTCCTAGTCACTGGAAGTCAAGCAGCGGAGCAAATCCGATTCCACCGGAGACAAATCAAGCTCGTCGGCTTTCTCCCTCGCATCCACCTCCATTATGACCCTCTAGCTTACAATTTCTTTTCTATCATTGGTCAAGCTAGTCTTAGCTGGTGCACTTACCCAAATCGATCTAAGATTGCTTTCTCGCAGTTTCCACTGCCCTCAGGCTCCACCCCCTAAACACCCCGCCCCGTTGGCGGTGCGCGCGCCTTAAACCCGCCCACGCCTCCTCGGCGGGTTCTGTGCTATCGCGAGATTCCGACTCCATTCTTAGGCCGATCTCGCGAGGCGCCTGTTCTTTTCCTCTCGCGCGCCTGGCTCCGGGTAAGCGGTTGTTAGCAGTTGGTACTGATGCATTGGGATCTTGGGGCCAGGGTTATAGTAATTCCAGGACACAGCTCTTCAGACCCCTAGTCAACCGGGGCGTCCAGGATGGCAGAGGTTTGGGATGAATTAGCGCATCCCATCTGGTGGACGGGGAAGAGATTGCGGAAAAAGATTGTTTCTTGGGGCCAATTCGCTCTTTGGGAAGGTCGAAGCTTGAAATATGGCCCCTGGGGGTGGGGGGCTTCTCCAGACCCGGTAGCCGGATCGTGGCCCGGTAACCGAGAATACCCTCAGTAGTCGAGGGACGTGTCTGCGGGGTGGTTCACGTGGGCGTCATGATTTGTGCTGGAGCTTAGGTGTTGGGCAGGCCGCAAGGGCTCTTGGAGTCGCTGCGTGAGAAGCTGGCCCAAGTAAGACAGCTTTGGACTAGGGTTTGAAAAGGTGACTTGGATCGAATTATATTTGTTATCTTTGCTGTCTGTGAGCTTGTTTTTGTTTTAATGATAAGAGAGTACTGATAATTTTTAATTTGCAGATACGCCACCAGAGTCCATTGGACCTCATTTTGTTGCATTTTAGTATTTTCTGACCCGGAATTTGCAGAGTTTTTGCATCTAAAAATCTTTAATCATTAATAACAAGTACTTGCTGGCGTTTCACGTGTAAAGTTTGCAGGTGTTTTATTTCGGGCCTTTTTTTGCTAGGCAGTTTGTGATTTCCAGGTGTGGTACAGGCTTGCTCATATTTGCGGGTTTTGACCATCAGGTGGGTTATGAACCACATCCTCCGCTCCTGTGGGCGGATCTGGACTACTCTCCCCCATCCCCCCCTTTTTTCTTTATGAAAGATTTCAGGATTTGTGTGACTAATGCACCTCCTATATGTTCAAACTGAGACTGAGGACATTATCTTTTAGGTTAGAGGAAATTGCCATTCGTTCTGTTTTTCATTTGGTTGCATGTAGAAAGTAATATAAAATCACCAAGGAGTTTTTAAAAGCCACAACAGTCTATTTTTAGTTTTTCATACAGAGAAATGAAAATTTGCAAACAAGTTTTTTGGGTTTCAGTGCTTAATGTGGATAGATGGTTAAGAGAAATCTCAGAGTAGGGCTTCCAACCACCTAATTGCTGTTTGAAGTTCTTTTGATAATTTGAATTCCCACCTCATACTGAATTGTGTACTGTCGATTCGGAACCCACTTTGGTGGTCTTCAGAGGCAGTTAATTACAAGGGAGGAGACTGCCCATCCTTCTCCCGGAGCAGCTGGTGGTCTCAAACCAGGAGCTTTATGGATCCCAGTGCCTCTTGCCACTAGGCCATCAGAGCTCACTGTGGACTGACTAGAGATCTGGATTTCTAACAGTCCTTTGGTGATTCTAAATATATAAATTGTAAAAAGGTGCACATAGGACCACCTTCAGATCTTGTTACTGGTCAGAGGAAGCTCTTTCCTAAAGTGGTCTTTAGGAATCAGTAAATGATAACTTTCCTGGTATGCATTGAGGCCTACTGAAATGCAGCTTGTCTTATTTAATTTTTCCTTGGAGTTTACAAATGAAAGTGAACAATATTTTGGGTATTGTACTTGACCAGTAGTGCTTACGGACAGCACGAAGATAGCACAGCAGAGATGAGCGTAGTGCAAGGTTTGTCTGTTGGACAAAAATAAGGTCTCTTTGATTTGAGGGTTGTTGGACAACACCTAACAGTAGTTCCCAGTGACCGTACAAGTTTTACTGAATGACATAGGTGCTTTTGTTACTTTCTGGATGGAGTCTTGTGACTATTGAAAGTGATAGGAAATTGAACTGGGATAACCTGTAGCTTGGAACCATCAGTAACAGTATTCAGAAGTGCTACATCACAATTACTCCATCTATTTTTCAGAATTTAAGAGAACAAATGATGAATTAGAGACTTGGAAAATTTATCTCCAAGATGGATTCTCACAGTGACACAATGATTTCTAATTTAGCTACAACTGGGAAAATTGAGAATCAAAGGTATGTCTGCCTTTTTAGATCAGCTGTAATAGATTAATTAATCCTTTATTTTAATTACCAGGAAAGCATAACTTATTGTAGTTATTACCAGTGTTAATTTTAAGTAATTTGGAAAGAGGAATTAATTTGCATAGGCTTTCAAAAATTAGTCTAGTTGTGAGTTACTTAGATCTGAGTTACTGTGGGTGGACACCAATGAGGAATATGCCGTATAAAGGATCCTAGCATAAGTTCATGAAGGTACCTTAGCTATTTGACATGGTATTCCATAGTATTTGACATGGAATCAACCTTGCAACTAGAATCTTTCATCTTGTACAGAAATCAAGACAGCCTTTCTAGAGTTTATATAGTTCAGTCAGTACAGTGGTTTGCTGTTCATGTGATGCCAGATGGCCACAACAGTGACTGTACCCTGAGCCTAGCCCTAGCTATATTCTTATCATAGCCATATTATAATGAAATAAAGTTCATATTCTAATTCAATATATATATAATTGAAAAAATATATATATTCAATTCCCTGCCTTGGTTTTTGAAGTAATGTGTTTTCTAACCATTATCAGTATTGTTAATGGGATGCCTTCTTCCCCCCCCCTTCATTTTAGTGATACCTCAGAATCTTCTGATTCTGGTAGCAGTTTATTTAAAACTCAGTATGGTCCTTCCTTACCTACGGAGAGGCAAGAAAAGCCTCTGAGGAAATTTGTTTGTTTACCGAAAAATGTTCAGACAATAGATTCAAGCGATTCTGATTGGGAACCCAGACCTTTGACATTAAAAGCTGTGTTTGAGAGATTTAAGCAAAGGAAACGTAAGAAAAAGAAGAAGAAATACAAACCAACAGGAAGACCCAAGGGAAGACCCAACGGGAGCAAGAACAGGAGTACTAAGCGTTCACAGATAGATAAAAACCAGTTTAAAGACAGAGGACCTGAATTCTCATTTTTAGACTCTGAGAATGGAAGAAACCCAATCCCTTGGAAAAAAATTTTAACTTTTGAGGTGAGTCAACATGTATATACATGGATCTGAAAGCTGGTTTTAGCAACATTTATTCTCTAAGGATAATAGATGGAAAATTCCACCTTCAACTTTGTGTCCTCATCCAGTCTGTATTTGCTATAAATCTTAAGTCGCCTGGATGGAATCATCAACCCTTGTGACATATCTATCCTTGTTTTGTATAAGTCTCTCGGGCTGTTTGTAAATCCATAATGCCATTCATAGCTGGCATACGTGTGGTTTCAGAGGCTAAAAGTTGTATTCTCCATCAGCAAAGCAACTTTACCACCATGTGCCTTTAGGGTGGCAGTACAACTCCTTACATACTAGGTGACCTATGAATTCCCTGCTTTGGTTTTTGGAAGTCTGTCATTAGTAATATGTTCAGTAAGAAGATGTACCCTTTTCCCCCTTGTTCTAGTGATAACAATATTAAGGAAGCAGCTTATTAACTTATATGTTCCTTCTTTACCTAAGGAGAGACAAAGCCTCTATAATTTGTTCATTCACCTAAAAGTTTAAAGAAATCCCTCCCTTCCCCCTTATTTGCTGAGGTGACAGCAAGTGTCTTTATTGTGAAAGACCGTGTCTTAGAATTTGTTGTGGTTTTTTTTTTTTTTTATTCATAGCAAGCTGTTGCTAGAGGGTTTTTCAAGTACATTGAAAAATTAAAGTATGAACACCACCTCAAGGAATCTTTGAAGCAGATGAATGTTGCTGAAGATTTAGAAAAAGATGACCTTGATAGTCGTGCCTATAAGTACTTAGATGATGATGGATCCATATCTCCTATTGAAGAATCAGTGTAAGTTGAAGAATATAATTTTGGCCATCATTTAGAGTAAATTTGAATCGTTTCCTATCTTGCCATATTAAGTGCTGCTGGCTCTTTACATTTCCAAGCCTGATGTCTATTTCTAAGAATTTGCCCATCCCAAATGTGATATTTATTGCCCATTTTATTTTAGTCTCAAGTTTACTACTTGTACCATGCATACTAAAGTCCTGGGTTTCTTTATAGGGCAGTCATTCCCCTTAAAAACGTACTCATTTTTTTCCTGCCTGTTTGTCCAATCAGCATTGTGTATTTAGTAATGTTGCAATTTAATGTTACAGGGTCGGGGATGAGGATGGGACCGAAGTTAAACACTGTGATGAATGTGATATTAAATTGGTGGTAAGTGGTACTTGGTTTTTATCCAGTTTTAATTGGGAGGATAATTTCTGGAATGTAAGGAAGGAATGGGTTGAAAAATGTTGAAGATGGCAACATTCCATTTTGCAGAGAAAATGATTTTGCCAGTAGTTAGTTTGGATCCTGAACAAGATTTACTTTTTAGGGTAGGTCTTATGGCCTGTTCAGGTTATATGTAGTTACTGTGTTAGTTATTTATGGTTCTGGTTTTTTTTTAATGCAGGGGGAGAATGATTTCATACTAAGTTGTGACTTTCCGAAGAAGAGGAAGAGAAATTTATTAGATGGTGAAAATGTTAAACGTAGAAAGAAATTTAAAGGCAAAAAAATGGGGCAAAATGGACAGAACTGATACAAAGACCGTAATATCAGACATGGTAAGCATTGGAGAAAAGGCAAATTTTCATAGGAAAAATGTGAGTTTGTGTCAGCATAACATTGTGTACCTTCAAGTAAGAACCAACAAATAGCTAGCTGACCCTCCAGTGGGTTTTAATAGAAGATTGGAGCTGATGGGTGTGAACTGCACGTCTTTTTTTTTTTTTTTTTTTTAAGGTTTTAAACTTTTTTTTAAAGTGCAGAAATCAAGTCTAGAAAGAAAAATTCTGACTGGTACCTAAACACTTTTATGTCGGTTTAGTAATTAAACTTTTGAGTATCCAGACAACCAAAATGATTTAATATTTAGGTTTTGTATCATTACTGAAAAGTAGCTCTACTGGTACAGTTAACTGCTCACTAACCAGGTCGGTGGTTCAGATCCAGCAGCTGCTTGTTTCATATAAGATATTTGGTACGGTTTTCTTTAGATTATCTACCTTGGGGAAACCTGACTCAGTGACAGTTTGAATACACCATGTTAGTGGACATTCAGTTGGCATTTTCTGTTACTCTTGTGCCGTGGGTGAGGTTTTTATAGCACTGATCTGTTTTCCTTTCACCAATTCATACACATTTCCCTGAGTTCAGATAGCACTTGTGTTTGTGTTTGTCTAATTTGTGGACAAAGACTCAAACAGGTGCAAAAATATATCCTCTTTTGCAACCCAGAACTCATTGTTCAGTATGAGTTTTGATACAGATAAGAAGGGACATAATTCAGTTGTCGTAGGGATAAATTATTCCCCTGCCCTCATGCCATTAGAACTGGTCACCATAAAGTTTTCAGTATCTGATTTTTGACTACCAGGTGTCTGAGGCATCTGAGTATAAATTCGTTAAGGAGTGTGAACCATTTGCGGCAGGCATTTAAAGTCAATTCACATATACTATTACAAAAGTATAAGGTCATAGAAGGATGTCTATCTTAAATTACTATTTTAATGTTGGTGTTAATGTGAGATATTCAAGATTGCCCCTTTTGAAGCCTTTATCTTACGAATCTAAAGAAAGCTTCAGGTGTGTTGGAGATCTAAAGGATTTTGCTCAACTTGGAGACCTTTTTAATTTCCCAAAAAACAAATCTCTCTGTTTTAATAGTGATTTCAGGATATGATCCTAAAGCTAATGAAATAAAACTTTTTTCATAATAAAGGTGTACCATCTTGATTTTACATGAGGGCCCTTGAGAGAAGAGTCTTACAGAGGTTGAGTACCGTTTTGTGGGAGACAGGAACAGTTATGAAAAACTTCTTCAGATATGACTAGACTTTTAATTATGAAAAGCTTTTTTTCATATTAAAGGAGTACCATCTTGATTTTACGTGAGAGCTCTTGGGAAGAGTCTTAAAGGTGTTAAGTTAGACCATTATTTGTGAAATAGGAAGAGTTAATCTGTAAAGCATATATACAGTTTGGGTTAATGGATAATCTAAAAAGGGAGTTAGAGTAAAATGTAAAAACTGGCTGCAAAGCATTCTCTAAATCAATTTAAAGGTAAAATCCATGTGCAAAGGGTAAATCTTACCTCATTGCTAACTGGTAAAATGAGCACGAATTCCAATTGTTATCTTGCTGGTTTTTTCATCTTCAGGGCTGTACCCTTCATATCTGATCAATCCTATGATATTAGAGAAGCTGAACCTTATGGAGGATGTGGTATCAGAATCATCATCAACCTGCATTATGCAAGTAACACAAATGTTGCTCACTGAAAGTAAGGAGGCCTTGAAGCTCTACTGCAGAAGATCAAAGACTAGCCTTTAATATCAATGATATCTTAGCATCAAGAAAAGGAAAGTCTATCATCAGGCCAATATATGATAAAAAAAATACTGAAGTTGTCAATGGTTGCATTTTGCATTGCTCCAGCAGACATGCTACATACCAACAGTCAAGAATTCAAGGTGTGGCCCTTTGAGGTAGAAGCCACAGACCTCTCAGCTTGCATGCCTTCATGAAGAAGGGGGAGCCATGTTGAAGAGGCCCAGGTAGCAAGAAACTTATCAGTGAAAGACCAAGATCCTCAGTGAATTCAGCCACCATCTACATAAGCTTAGAAAGACTTCTTCCCCACCTCCAACCAATCTTCACTGATTAGAGACCCCAAAAGCAGAAGATCCAGTGGAGGTAAGTACAAATCCCTGGCCTGCAGAAAAATGGATAATGTGTTATGTTTTTTTTTTCTTTCTAAAAAAACCCAAACCAGTAGTCAAGGTGAGTTGCCTTTGGGGAAAGTCTGCTGTGAGAGACCTCTCCAGAGCACTCCAGAGCAGTGGTCCAAGATGCATCTGATCCAAGTCAGTCTGCTCAGTTGCTTGTTATGCATCTGAAAATTGGACAGTGACTTAAAGATGACAGAAAATGCCTTTTGAGTTGTGGTATTAGTACCAAGAGAACAAACATTTTAGGAAACGTTCTCTTTGGAGGTAAGGAATGTAAAACCACCTTATTGTCTTCAGGCATGTTGGTAGGAGGGTTAGGTGATTTGTGAGGATCGAGTTTGTCAGTGAGACTTTTCATGATACAATTGAGCTTTTTAGTAGTAATAATTCTTTACGTGAAAAAGTTTGAGGTCTATCCCGATGGGGCTTTGCCTATAGGCCCACGTCGTTGGAAACGCCTCATAGAGCAACTGTGTGGTTTTGTTTTACTCACAGAAATATTTATTGTATCTGTGAGAAGAAACTACAATACAGATAATTTTTAGAAGGATCCATGATTTAGTAGTTAACTTTTATTTTTATTCCTTAGATGCTGGCATGTCCTAATTCCATAGATCTGTACTTTTCTCTGGTGAGTATCCTAATGCTACAGATCTGTGCTATGTACAGTTCATATGATGAATTAACTGTTCAACTGCTGAATGACAAAAGACATGAACTAAAACTTCATTCTGAACTGAGCTGTATTTAGTAAAAAGACATACCTTTGTGTAGATAACTTATATTTTAGTTTTTATAGGTTTTTAAGGATTCTAAATCTTTGTTATTGTCCACATAGGAATTAATAGGATATCAACTCATTCATCATACAGGTAAGTAGAATATCTTAATTTGAAATCCGTGAACACTGAAGAATCTAACTTTTAAAAAAATTTTGAGCACTTCGTACCATTAAAATTTACTTAGAAATTGGGGATAAAATGTAGAATAAAGATCTTGGCAATGGAAACAGTATCTGTAAAATGAAGGAAAACAGCTCCATGATGAGACTCCAAAATATGGGAGCACAGGAGTATTAAATTAATAGAAAGTCCTGTTTTTCTTTTACTTTTTAAATTACCTAATCACATATCCCTTTTAAACAGTTTTCTCCCTCATCTGTTTCAATGCAGCATACACTATTGAACCCATCTTTCTCAATCTACCCCCAAACCCAAGGTCAGTCCTGGCTTAACGACAGTGGCACCATGCAGTATTTGTCCTTTTGTGACAGATACCCCACTCAGCATAATGTTCCCCAGGGTCACCCATTTTTAATAATATTGCATGAGTTGCTTGTTTTTCAATGGAGCGTAGTATTCCATTGTGTGAATACACCACAGCTCCTCTATCCATTCTTTTGTTGATGGGCATTTAGGTGGTTTCTAAGTCCTTGCTTATTGTGAACAAAGATGCGATAAACATGGGTGCGCATATATCTGCTTGGATGTCAGTTATGGTCTCTTTGTGTATATTCCCAGTAGTGGAATTGCTGGGTCAAATGGGATCTCTATTTGCAACTTGTTGAGAAAGCACCACACCGCTTTCCACAGGGGTTGCACCATTTTACACTTCCACCAACAGTGAATAAGGGTTCTAGTTTCTCTACAACCTCGCCAGCATTTGTTGCTTGCTGTTCTGTTAAATTTTGCTATTTTGACTGGGGCGAGATGATATCTCATAATTGTTTTGATTTGCATGTCTCTTAGAGCTAGGGATTTTGAACATTTCTGCAAGTGCTTTAATGTCTTCTTTATAGTGTCTGTTCATATCCTGTGCCCATTTTTCAACTGGATTATTTACTTTTATCTTGTTGTGGTGCTCAAATATTTATCTGACATGTCATTACCATATAGTTTTTTCCCAGTCTGTGGCTTCCCTTTTTACACTGTTGAAGTAGTTTTTGGATGTGTATAGGGATTTGATTCTTAGAAGGTCCCATTCATCTATTTTCTGATTGTAGATGAAAGTCCTGTTTTTAAAGTTCAAGTTGTCACTGGTTTTTCACCATACATACTTGGATATGCTTAATAAAAGTTTTCTTTAATTATGCCCAATAGGGCAGTTATTTGACTTTATAGTTTATCTTGTGTTGAATGCAGTTTCATTATACCTGTTAGCGCAGCTTTTGGTCAGATGTATAGAAGCTTATCTTTGAGATGGTACAGTAATACTGAAGACTTTTAGTTCATTCATAAGTGCACTGCATGGTATCTGCATTCAGCAGTTATTTCTGCTGAGATGTTCAAAGGACAGTGCAAGAGAAATTCAGTATCTGGCATCGTTGGTTTTCTTGGCATTGTGCAAGATAAACCTGGTATTTCTACTGATACAGTTCATACAGTTTTTAAAAACTATTCAGTGTGCTGACAAAACCTTTATTTAGGAACAACTTTTCTTTTTCTAGGATTGCTGAAATGAAGAAGTAGAAAGTACTGGCATCCTAAAATGTAAGGATTTTTCAGTTGTTTATAGTCACTTGTCTGTTAATTGTTCATGGCATTGTCAGCAAGAGTACATGAATAAATTATTTTGTAGCCTCATTGTATGTGAAAATGGGCACAGCTGATAATGGTGTCCAGAAATTGTCAGTGTGGCTAAATTAAGACAGGTTTTGCTTTCATCACAGTAAATTACTTGCAGTGGTGACAATGAGACCTGTAACACCTCTCTTTTGTAAACATTGATAAGTAAGGCTTATGAAATCATTTTACCAAAACTGGCTTTCTATTTCTAGGACCCTGAAGTGAGTGACTAATAGGGAGAAATAGTAGGTAAGATTTTAATTTTCCCTTTCAAAGGCAGTTTATTTTTGCAGGTTGTGATTTGACAAAACTTTTTTAAGTATCACAGTTGAAATGAGTGTGATTTGGCACCCGAGCTTTTCCACTTAAATCTACAAATGGGGGAAATATGCCCCTTATTTATGTTTTATGTAGTGTTATGATGATGGGCAAAATGTTCAACTGCTCTGAATGAGCTGAGTGAAAACAGCCTTTCTGAACATTTCAATGTTTCATGCTTCACAGTGTATACTTTTAATTCAGAATTCAGATGTAAACAGAATGAGTTCAGCCTCTTGGTTTCATGTTTAGTGTTTCCATTCAAATACGATTTTCATTTCACAGGAGAGAACAAGCATATCAGCATGCAGCCTAATGGAAACAAAATGTGACGGGTAAATTTATTTTAACCTTACCAACAAAATCTCCCAGTGGTCATTACCAAGGCTTTTAGAATGAAGTTTCTGATTTGCTGTGGACTTGACCATAAAATAATTCCCAGTAGGTTTTCTTTTTTGCTACCTTGCTAGCACTCAACCTGTTGGGCACATTTTTATGCCCCGATTTGTTTCCATTGTTTGAGTGCAATTAGAAATTTTAAAACTTCGTTTCTCCCCTAACTCTTCAAGCTCTGTCCAGTGGCAGTATTGCACAGAAGCATATGGTGACCTCCAGAAATCTATATTGAAGGAAGGGTAGTGGTTCAAGGTATGTACATACATGTTTAAAAAATTCTTAGGTCATTTCAAAGAGGGCTTATGGAGCGGGTGAGACCAGGAGCTCTTAACGCTGTGACCAAAGAGTAAATATTTCTCCAGAGAATGCCATAGCCACTCAGTAGTGCTGTGCTTCCTCCTGAGGAGATACAATCAATAAGTGTAATTGATTAGGTGTTAAGATCTTTAAAATAATGACTTTTGTTCCTTTAGGGTTCTCTTGAAGATGAATCTTATACAAGCTTTGGAGGAACTGTGGTGATATTGATGGACAATGGAATTAAAAGACAAAGCAACATTCATTAAATAAAAATTTATTAATATTAAATAATATTGCTTAATAAAATTATTTTTACACTGTAGAAAGTCAGCATATAGTTTTGGCTCGAAGTTTCTCTAGTGTTTTCTGTGGATTGAATAAAAAGAAATTAGAAATTACATAGTTACTACATGCTACTTAGAACATTTGAGTTAGGAACTCACCTTTTGAAATTCTCTGGCTTTTGCTCTATTTTGGGCATTAGTTTCTTGTCTTCCTTTCTCTTGTCTTTGCTCTTTGCCATCAGCTAACTCATTGTATGACCTATAACAAATTCAGTAACATATTAGTCATACATTCAGTCCGAAGTCTTGAGGCACACATAAAAGCTACTTACTTCAGTGCCCTCTGGGACATGCAGACTTGTGCAGTTGTTCTGTCTTCAGGGATGGACACTCTAATTGTATTTACACCTTTGAAGGGACTTGCAGAACCTGAGAAGAACCAGTGAAGAGATGGGTAAGAGTGCTACAACGCTGGATTACAGAATTCCCTGTGGAATTTTGGTAAAATCCCAGGTTTAGAGCATACCTGCACACAACTTGTCAACTGGTTGGGTCTGAGCATCTTCAGTAACATGAGCTCTATCCTTAATTTCTTTCTGCCTTTGAGTGGATCTCTCTATAAATGATTTCTTTCTTAAAAAGGCTTCTTGTAAATTTTCAGGCATAGCTGTGTGTGCATTTGTCTCTGTAAAAAACAATTTTAAATTGATACTATTGTGGACACACAGCACCCAATGATAGCCTATCCTGTCACCCAACATGACAGATGTTCAAGGCATACCTGTAGAGTGTATGAGTGACTTCACTCCAGAATTCTCTGGTAGAGATGAGCATTCAGAGGTTTCTGGTACAAGAGGCAGAAATTCACTCTGCTGACAAAAAACCATTTCTATAATTGTATAATTTATACAATTGTACTTTGGTACTAGCAGGAACAGGATGAAATTTCAGGGCTAATCCAAATGCAGGTGTTTTAAAGGAACCAGCTTCCTCCTTGGAGATGGGCAATCTCTGAATCCAAATCCTTAGTAACCTCATCTGTTTAATAGCCACTTCCTGCCGTAACTTCAGTAATGTGGCACCAGGATTGGTCAAAGACTTAACAGCCTGAGTTGCACAGATGACACAACCTTGCTTGCCTGGGATATGAAGCCTTGGCTGCAAAAGGCTTTGCAGTGCAGGCAACAATTTCAGACCTTTAGAGTTCTGAAGAGCAATGATGTCATGGTCTTTGCAGCTACATCCTATGCTCCAGAGAAAGCTGCACAATGACTAAGGATGACAGGTTACAGTGCTAAGAACAGTATTGAGCATATGAGGGACTACCAGGAGAACAAACAGGTTTGTCCTAGGGAGGATGAAACCAAGTTGCTCCTTGGAGGTAAAGATTTTGAAGCTGTCTCTGGATATGTTCAAGGAGGAACTGGTCCTTGGAGAGGGACATCACAAGAAAAGGAGATCCTGGATAAGATGGATTCACACAGTAGGGTAATGCAAATAGAGGTGTCAGAGCTAAGCCTTCAATATGGTTTATGTCTCCAACATGAAAAGTCCTCACCACAGTACCAAATAGGTAACATAATAGGAAAAAAGACTTAGCATTTGATGTGAAAAATTAGTTGCTAACAGTTCTGACATGCTTACGTAGATGGCACATGGAAAGGGAAACAGTCTTGTAAGTTTCTAAGTAAGTCTGTAGGTTTCTAAGACTTACAGGAGCATAGTCTTAAGTGGCATAGCACTGGTCCGTCTGCTATAGAGAGAGAACAGTGATTGCTGTGATGCTGAACACTGTATCAAATGTGATAATGGTTCCCCTTGGTGTACAGTGGTGGAGCTCCCCAGTTAAGCTTGGAAGCAGGAGTGGCATCCACTTCTGAAATAGCTTGCCTAACTTAGAGAAACAAAAAGTTAACTGTTGAGGTCATAGGGTTGCCATGAGTTGTCTTTAACTCGAGGGCACCTAACAATAATCTGAAGTAGGCAGCAGTGCCAACCAAAAGGCTACTCATCTGATGGTTCAAATCCCAGGGCTACATCAGTAAACTGCCACTATCTCCTATTAAGATTTATAGCCTTGGAAACCTGTTAAAGTAAAAATAGGAGTTTCCAAATGATTGAGGATAAAAACATCTTACCTGCAAACAGCCTTTCTCCTCTTTGACGTTTTCTTCTAGAGTTAGGTTCTCTAAATCTGCTTCAGCTATACTGATATCACTGGTGCTTACTAACGTGAGTTCTGGCTCTTCCATTATCCCTTGGCCAGATTCTGTCTCCTGTGCAGTAAATTAAAAAAACCCTGTTTCTAAAATTTAAAACATGAAAAACTAAAATGACTACTGGGAAAGACAGTGTTTGGAATTCTGTAGGGGAAATTTTATACCAGCTCTTCATCCTCGGGAGAAAGCTTGGGACTCTCCAGTAAAGGATTAACCACCTTGGAAAACCAATGGATCATCACTTTGAACATGAGTAGGTTTGGCTTATCTGATTACCATTTACAAAAAACTAAAAATTACATAGCTCCCCCAAAGCAAACAAAGCTCAAATTGTTAAGTCAGTCCTACTCCAGGAGCTGTGTGTACAGCTGCCGTCCATAGGGTTTCCAATGGCTGAGCTTTGGCAGGGGATCACAAGGAGAGGTTTTCTTTATTTTATTTTGTGCATGTGCTATCAAATCAGATCTGGTAGGTATAGGAGGAGATTTCCCCTCCTGCTCTGGCAGAGCATCTGGTGGATTCGAACTGTGTACCTCTGGGATTGCAGTGCAGCTTCTTGCCACTAGGCCACCAGAGCTCCCCGCGAGGTTATCTTTTAAATTGGTTTAAATGTCTAACTTCTTGGTTAGTGGCCAACTTCATGCCACAGCACTAAATACCTGTCAATGGTGATTAAATTCAACTGTTAAAGTTCCTGAATTGGAAGGGAAGGTTTTTTTCTTTAAGGTGAACATCATTTCATTAGATTTCCAATGACCACAAGTTTCAAAGTGTTGATGGAAAATTGGGTTTTTCCTCAACTTAGCATTAAATTAAATTCCTAATAGGAATATTAAAAGCAAATTTCACTTACCCAGACTGGGATAGAGGTATGAAACATCTCTGACTGTGCTGGTTGACAGAAGTTTCTTAAGATTTCTGGAGTTTCTGTTCGATGTGAATTGTTGAGGTATTTTTCATTTTGAATAGTTAATGAGCAGGGTGCCTGAACTGAACTTGCCATCTCTCCTGTTCCTTCACATGATTGAGAGCAACTTTCTTCTGCATGTGGATTTGTGTCCAAAACCCCACTAGTTTGATTATCATCTTCAGTAAGTGCTTGGTTCTGTACTACTGCCTGAAGCCCTTCTTCAGACAAGTCTTTAAAGCAGGATCTCTTTTTGTCTTCTAATGGTTCTGTTCTTGAGCACTCGCTAGAGGTAGAGCCACATGGAGTGCTATGTTGAACATGTAATTGATTAAATCCATGACCATCATGAGATGAACTTAGCAAATTTTCTAGAGAGACTGGGAAATGAACATCTTTTTCCATAATTTGTGGTGTATCTTCAGAGGACTGGTTCTGATTTTCCATGCATCGGGCAAAGTCTCCAGCTTCAATGCTACAAACACTTGGTAGGTCGGCATGCTGGCTCTCATCCTGCGATGAGATCTCTGGCAGAAGTTGCTGAAAAGACTGTGTGGATCCTGCATTAAGAAGTTCAAGAAGTCAGTCGTGCTATAAATAAAGACACAGATACAGTGTACAATCTCTAGCAGATTCTGAATCAAGTGCAAATAATAAATCTTAGGATCAGTGTACTAGGTTTGTAGCCTGGTTACTCCTCACAACCTTTGAAATGAAATTGATGTATATAAAAATTATTAAGAAAGCCTAGGGAAAATCTGAGGGATCTTCAAACAGTTGTCTCAATATAATGAATTTAAAAATCTGGCCATTAGGATAGCATCATATTTTTCCTTCTGGAATAGAACTGAATGTTGATTTTAAAAGTGAAAGACTAAGCATAATAATGCACATGTATCTCATGTGTCTACATGATTTTGAGAATGATAGTTAATGGATACTGAGGTGGTTGAAGCACAGAAATTGAAATAAAAAAGGCAGTATTTTTTTTTATTTTAGTACTCTGACAGATGAAACTGAGCAATACAGCTTCTATTAAAGTACACACAGAAACAGAAGTTGTTATGTTGGCAGGAATGAAGACGGTGAGGAAAATGAACTCATAAGCCCAAGTGCCAAGGAAAAGGGACACAGCATGGAAAAAGGGTAACTTTTAAAAACTTGGTCATACATACCCTTACTACTGCTCTCCGTCACAAAACCTTGGGCTGCAACATGAACAAAGTTAGGCTCAGGGTGTTGGTTTAGACCCAAGCTAAGAGAAGAATGCAGGCTTCTCCTCAGTGCTGTGCAGGAGACTGAACTCTGGGGTGACACAGTACCGTGGAGGCTTTCAGGTGAAGACTCCGAACCCTAGTGCAAAATGAGAGAGAAGTGGAAATGTTTAGGAAGTGTTATTAATTGTAATAAAAAATCACTCCTTGGATACTATTTTTCCTTAATTACCATCACATGACAATTTGCTTATTCAAACACAATTTTTCTTTTAATTCAACACTAAAAAAGACTATAGAGAGAACAAATTGTGAAAACTAGTAGTGGTTTGTACATAAGATCATTTTCTGAGAAACAGGACAGACATAATAGAGGGATGTCATTGCTGTTTGTTCTTTTGGCAATTGATAGAATATACCTAGTATAAATCTTGCCAACACAAATCAAAAGCTTTCTTTGTACTTTCTTATTTTCCAACATTCTCATGCTTATGAGGTGATTGATAAAACCATGCTTTTACTGGTTTCAAGTTAATTTGTGCAGATGAAAATGTCCTTAAATTGTGGTGTTGGTGAAGAGTATTGAATCAACCACAGAGCTCTGTTGGCCTAGAGGTAAGGAGCTGTGCTGCCAACCTGAAGGCACATGGTTTGAATCTACCAGCTGCTTCACAGGAGAAAGATGGGCAATCTCCTCTAATGTGATTTGTTGTTAGGAGGTTAGGAGTTGAGTATGACTCATAGTGAACCTGTGCATAATAGATCTTACCCGGTCCTATCCTGTGCCATCCTCACAATATCGGAACACTGCATGGTTTAAAATTAAGAAAGCCATGCATCAGCATTGTCTCTTCTCTCAGTGCCTGCTCAATTGTATGCTCAGCAAATTATTCAAGAAAGTGGACTCGAAGCACTTGCTGCATCAAAGACTACACCCTTTAATATGGATTGCATCTCAACATCAAGAAGACAAAAAGTCTCACCACTGGACTGATAGACACCATCACGATGGATGGAGAAAAGATTGAAACTCTAAATGACTTTATCTTACTTGGGTCCATAACTAGTACATTTGGTATGAGCAGTCAGGAAATCAGGAGATGGATTGCACTGAGAAAGTCTACAATCAGGGTCCCCTCCAAGTCACTGAGGAGCAGTGATGTCCCTCCAAGTTACTGAGGAGCAGTGATGTCCATTTGAGGACTAAGGTACACCTGTTCAGGCTACCTTGAATGGTCTTTTCACTCATTTATACTGTGCTGCTGAGAAGAATTGATGCCTCTGAGCTGTGATGTTGAAGAGTATTGAATATCCCATGGACAGCCAAAAGAACAAACATATAATGTCTTGGAGAAGTTGCAGCCTGAGTGTTCCCTGGAGACAAAGATGATAAAGCTAACAGTAAAACTAGTCAGTTCTCGGGACATCGAGGTCCACTGGCGTGACCCGGCACACAAAGACAATATTCAGCGTCCTGTTGCACAGGCATCTCTGGTGCAACTGTTGATCACTCCATGTCTGGAACAAACAGGGAAGGAAGGAAAGGTGTGCAGACACAATTCATCCCCAGGACTCTTTACAGTAACACTGTGAACCTCACCTTTCATGACTCCAACACCAGCATGAGAAGGTTCCCAACTGTCAATTCTGATTTCCTTAGGAGAGATCTTAGGCAAGGACCTTGGACAGAGTAGGAAAAACTGTGGAACCGAACTCAAACTCCAGCATGACCAGGCTTGCTGGTCTTACAGACTGGTGGAAACCCTGAATCGATGGCCTTAGTTAGCCTGCAAGCCTGGAGGGAAGCCTGTTCCTAGAGCTCCTATTTCAGCCCAATGGCCGACAGGCCTGTAACATAATCAAAAAAAGTCAAGTATTCACTGATCAGAACCAAACAAAATCAAGAAGGTGGCATCTGCCTGGGGATAAAGCTCAGAAGGTAGGAAGGGATAGGAAATGATGAACAGAGAAGGGAAGCAGGAAGGTGTCAGAAATGCCATTAAAAGACAAGGTAAGATGGCAGAAGGAATAGGCCAGGCGGCAGCCCAGACAATTTCCACTAAGACTCCCGAAAACATAAACAACAGGAATGGTAATCCTGGAACCCTGTGTTTCAAAAGTAAAGATAAAAATAACACCAACTGAAGGAAAAAACAGAAAATATATTTAATAAGGAGACAAATCATCCCGTGAGTGTGGGAAGGTCACTGGGCACATCTAGGGGAGGCTTCCGAACTGGCTCGGGAACCAGGGACTGCAGCTATGTTCCCAGCAGGGCGTGGCTAAGGACGAGAACTGCGATTCCCTTTTTGTTCCCTATACCCTCCACGGATCAGGAAGTGACTTCCACCACCATCACCACCACTGCCTGACACGGGATAGGGTGTTCCCCAGCCCCATTGCTCCTCCGCCTGAGGCCAGGCTTCCACCATGTATCTAGTGCCAGGAGCAAGTGCACATCTCATATCTTCATATGCAGACTTGGTCTCTTAACTGTGGGGCCCACTGCCAGCCTGCCTTCAATTGCTTTATAGAAACAGAGAATGGATCATGCACATCTCCATCCTCTACTACATCCACCAGAGGACAGGTGGTAAAACAAAAAGAACTGCCAATCTAGCAAGCTGCTAGACTCAGGACTCAACGAAAACAAAATAATGCAAAGACAAGGCCATCACACTGGCTTGTGTGTGGCAGTGGAGCAAGAGGTTAACTTTAAACCACCTGAAGATAGCAAGCTAAGACAGCACAAAATAGTGACCAAAATACAGAACCAGACAATTTTTCAAAGGAAGAAATGCTTCTGGAACTTCTAAATAATGCACTCCAAAGAAGTGTCTTCTAAGGATTGAGAAAAACATAGAAAATAGATTTTAAAAAAATCAATGCAACACTACACGGATGAAATAATTAGAAAATTAGAAGTCAGATAAAAACAGCACACTGAAATTCAGAAAATTAAGACAAAAATATCAGAAGTAAACAATACATCAGGACAAAAGAGCAGAACTGAAGCAAAGACAAAACTAGTGAACTAGAGATAAATCCTTCAGTACTAATCTGTTAGAGGAAAAATCAGGAAAAAAGGAAAGGAAATTAAAGTATAGGAGATACTGGGGCACCATAAAGAGGATCAATTTTATGGATGACTGGAATTCCAAACTGGGAAAATACAAACACAGTGAGAGAGAGACAGAGAGAAAACAGTACAGAGTAAATAACTGAAGATTTGCTGGGAAAAAACTGGAGAAAATAGGCATTCAAGAAGTGAATCTCAAATAAATAAGACTTTGAAAGAAAACAGTAGGCTATATCAAACTTTCCAAAATTAAAGGAAAAAAAATACTGAAAGCAGCACACAGGGAAAAGAGTTCGCTACAAGGACATACAAGGCGAGCCAATTAGATTAAAATTTGATTTCTCAGCAGAAATCATATGGGTAACAAGGCACTAGGGTGATGTATATGAAACTCTGAAAGAAAAATACTGCCAACTGATAATTCAACAACTCAAAATAACGTACATGGTAAGCCCCATCAGAAACCGATGCAGATACAGAAACACAGTCTTCTTGTGTACCACTGAGTTGTAACTGACTCATAGCTGACCCTCCAGCAGGCTTTCAGAGGCAGTAATCACACTTACAGGTTGTATAACCCTGGTATTGCTGTACATCGGTATCTTGTGGTCGCTGTGAAGCTGTGACAGTGATGTGTCAAATGTGTTAATGGTTACCCATGGTGGACAGTGTTTGGTGGCACTTCCCGGTTGAAACAAGCTTGGAAACAGGAGTGGCATCCACTTCCGTTAATAGCTTGCCTCTGGAAATCCTATGAAGCTGGAGAAAGGATGAACGTCACCCAAGTGTTGAGGGTTTTCATTCATAGGATTGCTATAAGTTGCATATGACTTGACGGTACTTAATAACAACTCACATGGAGCACCTGGTTTTCAAACTATGTGCCTTTGGGATTGCAGTGCAGATTTTTACCACTAGGCCACCAGAATTCCTTGAAATACAGACTTACAGACTGAAAACAGGGAAACAGGTCAGTCTACAAATCTTTGCTACAAAGCAAAAAAAAAAAGCGCATTGTAGTTTCAGAACTTCAAAATGGAGAGCAAGTGAAGGCGATAGGCGATTTCAAGTTAAAAGTGAATTGTTTTATGTTGGGAATGAAATAACACATAGGATAACCTCCAAGAAAATAAGTAAACCTTACCAAAATAAAAACCAGGAAAGTAATAAAAGATTTAGTAAACACTAGGACAATGGCAATGAATGAAATGAAAAATCATAAAATGAACTCAGTACAGAAAAATAGACGGAACAAAGAAATCAGTCAGCAAAATAACAGCAAAAATACCGTATTGCTGTTGGTAGGTGCCACTGAATCAACTGACTAAAATTTCACAAGCAGACAACATATAAGAAGAACTCACAGCAACAAGAGATCTAACGCCTGTCCAATCTGGTGATATTCTCATAATCTCATTTTGTTGAAGGTTCTCTCCTCCTCTGACCCTCTACTTTTCTCAGCATATTTTTTTCCAGTGTCTGGTCCTTTCTGACAACTTGCTCAAAATAAGTACATAGTCTCACTATCTTTGCCTCTTAAGGGAACTTTTGTCTATACTTCAAACACATTTGTTCTTTTGTCAGTCTACGGTATATTCACTACTCCTCACCACCACCACAATTTAAAGGCATCAATTCTTTTTTTTTCCTTCTCTTTCCTCTTTTTTTCCTTGTTGTGTACTGCCTTATGGAATCCAACTGGAACAGGAGAAGACTGCCCCTCCTTCTCCAGCAAAGCATCTGGTGGATTTGAACTGCGTGCCTTCGAGATTGCAGCACAGCTTCTTGCCACTAGGCCACCAGAACTCTTGGCATCAATTCTTAAGAACTCCTTATTCATTATCAAACTTTCACATGAACAGAAAGCACCTGAAAAGATCACGGCGTGGGTTAGGTGTACCTTAGTCTTTAAACTGACATTCTTGCTCTTTAGGAACGTATCTGTTGACAATTACACCGAATGTGAATGGTTTAAATGCAACACTCAAGAGAAAAAAATAGGTAAGAAAATATGACCATCAGCATGCTGTCTACAAGAGACATATCTTAGAAAGATAGACATAGATTAAAACTTACAGAGTAGGAAAAGATACCAAACAAATGGCTATTAAAAAAAGAGGTGTGGAAATACTAATTTCTGGGAATAACAAAACATCTAAAGAAACAAAACACCTCAAAAATCTTTAAGGCTAAAATCAGCATATGAGATAAGAAAAAACATTATATAATGATTAAAGGGTCAAATGAACAACAAAGGCATAACAATAATTTTTATCTATGCATTCAAAATAAATAACAAAACTTTAATGTATCTGAATAGAGAAACAGACAACTGCACAAGTAGGAGACATCACTTTCAATGAAGAACACAATGAATAAAAACAGAGCAAAGATGCAGAAAAACTAAAAAAATATAAGTGTAAGCAACAAGAGCATAATTCACACTTTTTTTTTGGTAAGAAAAATGTTATGCACATATTTATTTGTTCACAAAGCAATGACTATTTTAGGACAGGTGTCTGATAAGTAGCTCAGGAATATTCTTGTCAGTGTTGGTATGTCACTGGAGGAGGCCACAAATAGCAGTACCAGTCTGGGCTCCAGAATTTGCCCTTACATTCTGGTGAGGTGTCAGCTCTGTTTTGGGTTGGTTTTTTTTAATTGATATTTTAATCTCAATTTTATAAGTAAGTTTATAAAGAACTTGGATTTCCATTCATTCGTTGTTGCACATTTTCCTCCCTACCTCCCTACCCCCAGTTTGCTTTTTTCTTTGGGAAGAAAGTTCTTAAATTGTTATATAGTCCCTCCCATCCCCAACCACTTTATTATGTAGCTCTTATTCTGGACTCTTGTCATGCCAATAATATCTAATCATGTTGTGGTTGTTATGTGCCGTCGAGTCGCTTGCAACTCATAGCAACCCTATGTACAACAGCCCTAAACTCTGCTCTGTGCTGTGCCAATCACACTGTCTCTGACACTCCCATCCTGATTATCCCAGTCACTGAATCAATCCACCTCATAGAGGGCCTTCCCCTCCTGCGCTGTCCCTCCACCCTCCCAAGCATGATGTCCTTCTCCAAGGACCGGTCTCTCTTCACAACATGCCCAAAGTATGTTAGATGGAGCCTCAGAATCCTTGCCTCCAAGGAGCCACCCGGTTTAACCCTTTCCAGGATGAATCAGTTTGTTTTCCTAGCAGTCCATGGTATTCTCAATACTCTTCTCCAGCACCACAGCTCAAAGGCATCAATTCTCCTTCTATCCTCCTTGGTCATTGTCCAACTCTCTGATGCATAACAAGTGATTGCTAAGACCATGGCCTGTATCAGACTCACCTTAGTCTCCAGAGAGACATCTAATCATATATTACTTTTATATATAGTCTTTCTTGTCTTCTTCAATGCCATGTACATTATTTATCCCCTCTTTTCTTAGTTTCCTCCCAACCCCCATGTCAGTCCTGTTTTATAACAGTGGCATTATATAGTATTCGTCTTTTTGTGACCATTTCACTCGGCATAATATCCTCCATGGTCACCTATTTTATATATTATTTCATGAGTTGTTTGTTTTTCAGTGCTGCATAATTTTCCATTGTGTGCCTATACCACAGCTTCTCTATCCATTGGTTTGTTAATGGGCACTTGGGTTGTTTCCAACTCTTTGCTGTTGTGAACAAAGCAGCAATAAACATGGGTGTGCATAATCTACATTCTTCTCTGGTGCACATGGAACATTCTCTAGAATACACCACATGTTAGTTCACAAAAGAACCTTCAATAAACTCAAGAACAAAGAAATGTGACACAGCATCTTCACAGATCACAATGCTACACAGTTAGAAATCAGTACCAGGACAATCAAGGGGGAAAATTAAATGGAGATTGAAGGCCATCTCCCATGTGAATAGGAACCAGACAAGGAAGCCCTTTATTGCTGCTCTTATTTAATATTGTATTAGACTCCTACACAGAGCAATAAGGCAAGAAAGGGAAATAAAAAGCATTCAAATTGGTAAAGAGAAAGTAAAACTCTATTTGCAGACACTGTGATCCTATACATAGGGAGGTCTGGTTGGCCTAGTGGCCAGAAGCAGCACTGCAATCCTGAAGGCACATGGTTTGAGTCCACCAGCTAGCTGTGCAGTCTCCTTCTGTGCAATTAACTGCCTCTGAAAACCTTCTGGAGGGTGAGTTATGGCCTGGCTCCCACTAAATGGTACACAAAAATAATAATAATAATAATAATAATAATAATAATACATAAAAGAGTAAGCCAAGAAAATTAGTGTACTTAATTGACTAATTCAGCAAATGACAAGATAAAAGACTGACATACAAATATTTGTGAAATTCCTCTACAGTAACAAAGAGAACTTGGGGAGGACTATAAGGAAAACAATGCCATGTAAAATAGCCACCCCCCCCAATGAAATATTTAGGAATAAATTTAACCAGTAACACAAAAGATCTATATAAAAACAAACAAACAAACAAAGCAAGCCCAATTACAAAACACTACTAAGAAAAGTTTAAAGAGATTTACATTAATGGAAGAATAGCCTGTGTTCATGGACTAGAAGACTTAACATTGTGGAAATAAAAATATTACCAAAAGCGATCTACAGCTATAATGTAATCCCAATATTGATCCCATCACCATTCTCTGCAGACATGGAAAAGGCAGTTAACAACTTTATGTGAAAAGGAAAGAGACCCTGGATGAGTAAAACACCACGAAGAAGAAAAAGTAGGAAGCCTTACATTTCACTTCTTGATCTAACAACCTACTACACAGCCACTCATTATTTTATTTTTTTTTTTTTTACACAGCCACTCTTAATACAGTTAACAAGTTGAACTGGTAAAATCTGCTGTCAGGAACCTCTCCAGAATGCTAAGAGCAATAATATCAGTCTAGACACTAGAGTGCAACAGACCCAGTCTTCTCAATTGCTTGCTATGCATCTGAGACCTGGACCATTATGAAAAAGGATTACAGAAGAATCAAGGCCTTTGAGTTATAGTGCTAGAGATTACTGAACATGCCTTAGACAGCCAAGAGAACAAACAGGTCTCCCTGGAGAAGGTGATGCCAGGTTGCTCCTTGGAGGAAAGGATTTTGAAAGTCTTTCTCACATACTTTGGGCATGTTGTCAGGAGGGACCAGTCCTTGGAGAAGGACATCATGCTTGGGAAGATGGGGGGTCAGCTCAGGAAAGAAAGAACCTGGATGAGATGGATTGATGCAGTGACTATGGCAATGGGATCAGGTGGGTCAGAGATGAAGAGGTTGGTTCAGGACAAGGCAAGGTTCAGAAGCAGTTGTTTACTGGGTCACTATGATTTGTAGTCAATTTAATGGTACATAACAACAACAGGTACAGCAACAATAGGATAGAATTTAGAACTCAGAAAAAAAATCCATTAAATAGGGAAAAGACAATCTTAAAGAGCTGATCCATTTGTTCCAGCATATCCATTAATACTTACATATTCTAAAAATATTAGGTATATTTATATAAAATAAGGGCTATGACACAAACTTGATATGTGCTCATGCATGTTAATTGCAGCATTATTTCAAACAGCAAATGATGGAAACAGCTCAAATGTCTATTAATGACATCCACACACAAAGGATGTTATTTTACACTAGAAAATGATAAAGAATTCTTTTCCCCGCCTGTATTCATGTTATATATTGTACACAGACCCAAACTTCCTTGATAATATCAAATAGATTTGTAACGGCTTCGAGCCACTAGCCTAATAGGTAGAAAAGAGATGGAGGGTACTACTGAGTTAACTCAAAGTAACTCTAATATTAGATTTGAACCTTAATCTACCTTGTGCCACCTTCATGATCTCTGATATACTTGAGTCACTGTGTCAAAACCCCTTCCTTTGTAAATTTGCACTCAAATCACAATAAAAGGGAAAAAAAGGAAAACCAAATGAAACAAACAAAATATAAATAATTTTTTAAAAAAATGTCACATTCAAGGGAGCGCTGGTGGCCTAGTGGCAAGAAGCTACACTGCAATTCCAGAGGTATATGGTTTGAATCAACCAGATACTCTGCTGGAGAAGGAGGGGCAATCTCCTCCTGTACCAGTCAGATCCGATTTGACGGTACACAAACAAAAAATAAAAAGAAAAAGAAAAAAGTCACACTCTACAGAGAACCTGTTCACTAGGTGGAGATTAGACTGAGCAGGTAAGATTCGAATGGAGATGTTGTGTACCATGAGTCCACATTAGAATAAGCAATACAGAGGACTTTAAAGCCAAACTAAATCAATGGCAGATACAAACAATCCTCACGATGCCTTAGCACTTCTGTAGATTCTTGTTTAATTAGGCTGAGAGTCAACTGGTCATTGAAATATTGAAAAGCTTACTTCTTGGTCAGGGAGTCTAGCTCTAATAGAAGAAGATGCTTAAAATTATTCTAAGGAATTCATGGACACAGAGAATCTGCTTTAACATACCTTGTAGAAGTCTCTGCTGTCTTGAGAAATCCCCGAGGATAAGGATAACAAATCAAAGTCGAGCTGCGGTTCCAAGGGTTTAAAGAGCTGGTGATGCAAATTTGGGAAAGTGTGTTCCAATTCTGGGAAGTCAAGATCAATTCCTGGAACTATGAGAGGAAAACAAAATTTAAACTAAAGACATAAAAATTAATAACATATTCATAGAAGTGGTTTAAGTAGTTTCTAGTAAACAAAGTTACTTCTAATTTTTTCAGTAGCAGATGAATTAAAATTAAGACCTATCTTGATTATTTCCAAGGTATATTAAAAACTGTAGATACCTTCACAAAACTTTTAATATCAAGTTTCGTACCTGCCAGCCCCTTCTCCTCCCAAATCTCATGAGGTTTGGGAGGTGCCATCAAGTCATTTCCAGATCACAGCAAGCGTGCACACCACAGAAAGACACTGCCCGACACGGCCCACTCTCCCAGCCGTTGGTGGCAGAAGCTCACTGCTGTGGTCCCTGTGCTAGTCTGTCTTGCTGAAGGTCATCCTTTCTTTTGCTGTTTAGTTTCCCAAACAAGATGCATTAGCACCTTCTGAGAACATGGGTAAAGGATGTGAGACAATGCCTCACCATCCTCCTTTCTAACGAAAATTCTGGGTGCACTTCTTGCAGGAATGATCTGATTGATCTTTTGGCAGACTATGGTGTATTCAATATTCTTCACCAACTCCACAATTCAAAACCATCAATTCTTTGATCTTTATTTAGTGCTTAACTTTCACATGCATATGAAACAGCTAAAATACACTGGTATGGGTCAGGCTCAGTGTTGCAATTGTTGCACACCAGGGCTCACCCTGTAAAGATTGTAGAGGTTGTTGTGTACTGTTGGAACTGCCCCAGTGGAGCAACTGGTGGATTTGAACTGTGGGCCTTTGAGATTGCAGCACTGTTTCTTGCCACTAGGCCACCTTTTCAACATGTATGCAGAGCAGATTATCCGAGAAGCTGGGCTCTATGAGGAGAATTGTGGCATCAGGATTGGTGGAAGATCTATTAACAATCTGCGTTATGCAGATGACACAACCCTGCTTGCTGAAACTGAGGAGGACCTCATGCAATTGCTGCGAACGGTCAAGGACTGCAGCCTTCAGTATGGACTGAGGCACAATGTCAAGAAGACAAAGATTCTCGCCACTGGACCAACTGGCAGCGTCAGGATGGATGACGAAGAGATTGAGAGTGTTCACAGCTTCAGTTTGCTCGGCTCCACAGTCAACACTCTTGGCACCAGCAGTCAGGAAATCAAAAAGCGTATCGCGATGGGAAAGTCTGCTGTTAGGGACCTCTCAAAGGTACTCAGGAGCAACAGTGTCTCTCTGGAGACTAAGGTGCGCCTGATACAGGCCATGGTCTTTGCAATCGCTTGTTATGCATCAGAGAGTTGTACAATGACTAGGGAGGACAGAAGGAGAGTGGATGCTTTTGAGCTGTGGTGCTGGAGAAGGGTACTGAATGTACCATGGACTGCCAGGAAAACAAACAGATTCATCTTGGAGAGGATTAAACCAAGCTACTCCTTGGAGGCAAGGATTCTGGGGCTTCATCTGACATACTTTGGACATGTTGCCAGGAGGGACGGGTCCTTGGAGAGGGACATCATGCTTGGGAGGGTGGAGGGACGGCGCAGGAGGGGAAGACCCTCTATGAGATGGATCGATTCAGTGACTCGGGTAATCGGGATGGGTGTGTCAGAGGCAGTGCGGTTGGCGCAGGATAGAGCAGTGTTTAGGGCTGTTGTGCATAGGGTCGCTATGAGTCGGAAACGACTCGACGGCACATAACAACAACAACATGGGTCAGGCACACCTTAATCTTGAATTGTTGTGTATCGTACAGCCAGAACCAGGTTTTCAGAGGCAGTTAATCACACAGGAGAAGACTGCCCATCCTTCTTCCCTGGAGCAGCTGGTGGACTCAAACTGTGTGCCTTCCGTACTGTAGTGTAACTTCTTGGCACCAGAGCTCCCTTTAATTAGGCCTCAGAAAGCTCAATCTAACTATTGTTCTGATAGATGCTTTGTTGTTCTCACTTAGCTCACTCCAAGATCACTGATTTTAAGGAGTGTTACTGTGTGTGGTTGAGTCACTGTGTTTTAAGTGCACTATCTCATCTCCAAGATCCCTTAACTTTTATAGCTAAAAGTCGCTCATTAGTCAAAGTAGGACTGGAATCCAGGTCTGTCTGATTCTGAACTCTTATATTTAATGATGGTGGTACTGCCTTGTTGTAACTAAATCTGTAATAATAAAAGATTTGCTAAGCGATCTTTTCTACATATTCTCTAGGTATTCTGCATTTCTCCAGATCCCCTTTCTTATTAAATGCTCTCAATGTCTTCTGTATTTTAATTGTGTTAAGGCAGGTCACAAAATCAAGTTAAATCTATTTAAAACTGAAAAAGGATGAAAGGCTAAAAGCTGAAAACACTTTAAAGTATTTTTCATACTTACCTTTAAAATCTTGTTTTCCAGGCATCATATTTGCTTCATTTATGTACTTGTCTATGATCTGCTGAACTTGTCTTTGGCCAGATGTTAATTCTTGCGCTGCAGGTGACTGCGCCTTGTGGATGTCCCATGAGTCCTGCCCTTGATTAATGGCTTGCACTGGAGGGACCGAGCTGGAGGTGAGCTGGAGGGAGCTCAGAGGTGTTCCTTCTTCCTTCCTAGAGGTAGACTGCTGTGATCTATGCTCCACTTGATCTGCAGGTGACACTGAAATGAAGAGTTGAATGAAAGTATTTCATGTAAAGGCTAGGTATTTCCTTTGAGACACAGATTGGTAAAGGCAGGGTAATCAGTAGGACATGGGATGCCTGCAACCAAGCATTCTGCTCCTGAACAGGGACATGTGATAGAGCAAGTGTCATAGGGCTCCACAGAGAATTCCTGCAGGTCTGCAGGACCGTGACATCAAGTCATGTTTAGAACATCATTATTTCCAGTCTCCTGTGGGGCATGAATACTTTTTGGACATTTAGAGTAGGAATGCTTCCTCCTACCAATGTAAGGAACTTCAACTATTTCTGGTATTTCAGTTATTTACAAACATTCTGAATGCTATTACCTGTGTCTGCAAGACTCAGTTCTGGATTTTCAAAACTGCAAAGGCTCCTGGTAGAAATAGTAAATGAAGATAACGGTTCATGAGAAAGCTCTTGAATTTCAGCCTAAAAATGATAAGGAGCATTAGACCATAATGTAGGAAGTAACGTCACAAAATAATGACATTTAAAGTTCCCAAGCAGCAACATTAGCCATCACCAATTCTGAGCTCAGGTCAAGTGTAGAAACCATCATAATTATCAAGGTCAGTAGTTAAACTTTTTAATCCGTGCTCAGATTGATGAATCCTTGCACACGCACGCGGGCACACACACACACACACACACACACACTCAAGCATCAATTCCTCAGTTATCCACTATTATTTTTATCAACACACACATACACATGTGTAAACACACACCACAGACATAAATGTTCTAAGTTATTTTGTATTATTGCTTCCCAGGCGGTAGAGATCATCCATCAGATGGACTGATAGTCTTCTGATGCTCAGATTTGGCTATTTTCATCATTGATCCACTTGAGTAAGAGCAGATTTCAGAGAACACAGAGATTCATATTTCATCATTTAGGTCCTTAAATGATTTAAAATAGAATATGATGCCAGCAGCTGTTTAAAAATTATAGCATACGTTAAACATTCCTAACCTTATCATCTGACTTCACAGTTGAACTTGAGTATGTATGTTCTTGCTCTTCTACTGTGTGACTTAATACTTCATGATTCTCAGCAGTTGAATCCTTGACTTTGGCTGCAAAACGGATTTCAGAGTTCAAATTTTTTTAAAAAACCTCACCAAAAAACCCCTAAAAGCAGGGGGTGGGTGGGGGGTGTTAGTTTGCATTAGGACAATAAAATTCTTAGCACTACAGACATCATTTCCTAGATCCTGTAATTTACTTTTATGTTTTGCTTTCTTAAGAGTCTATCTTATTAGGGAGCTCTGGTGGCCTACTGGCAAGAAGCTGCACTGCAATACTGAAGGCACATGGTTTGAATCCACCAGATGCTCTGCTGGAGAAGGAGGAGCAAATTCCTCCCATGCCAGTTGGATCCAATTTGATGTCACACAACAAGGAAATACATAAATAAATCTTTTTTAAGTTTATCTTATTTTAAAAATTATTTCATTGTCAATAATATTCACTGGTAAATACACAAGGAACTCTGGGGCAGAGCTAACCCAAAGGCTGTCCCCACCCACCCAGGAGTTCAAATCGGCAGTGGCTCCATGGCAAGAAGAAGGGCAACCTCCTCCGCTCAAATTACAGCCTATAAAAACCTGCTGAGGGCTCAGCTATCAGGTGGTTCTCATTCAATAGCAATGTGATGTTTGTTTTGTTCTTTAAATTAACTTAGCCATCTGTCTGCTATTTGGTAACATCTATACTCACTGGCATTTTAAGGTATTTTTAATTCCAAAAGTAATAGCTAGAAGCAAAATTAATCTAAGGCAAAATTAATCAAGTCACTTAATCACAATTACTTATTGTTATCTAGAACATGCCGAGAAGGCTAGACCAGAAAAGAAGTGAATAGAGCTGGGTTTGGGCAATTAGTAATATGTAACATATGTAAAATATAAAAATGACAGAAAGGAGCAAGGTCAGACCTATTTAAGATGTTGGAGAATTTATTGAAAGTAGATGGTCCCTGAAAGTAAATGGAAGAATGTATCATCAGTCTAGACATATTTTATTGGCAAAATGGACCCATTAAGAAGCTCTATGGAAGGCAAACATGGTGAAAGCAATGCTTTGGCTAGATTTATTCTCCTATGCTATGCTAGAAGGTATCATTTTCTGTTTTCCTTCAAAAGCAAAGCAGTATTTCCTGCTTTCTATAAAAGCAAAAGGCATAAAGCTTGAGTTAACAGCTTTCATCTGAAAATCTATTATGAAATCAAAGTTCTACAAAAGACTCAAGCAAGATCCACACCTCACGCCATACACAAAAACCAACTCAAAATGGATCATGGACCTATGACTAAAACCAAGGATTATAAACTTCATCAAAGAAAAGCTTGGGGCGAGATCTGGTGGCCTAGTGGCAAGAAGCTACACTGCAATCCCAGAGGTGTGCGTGTGCGGTTCAAATCCACCAAATGCTTTGCTGGAGAAGGAGGAACAATCTCCTCCTGTACCAGTCAAAT